AAGTCTCCAATTTGTCAAGGTCATTTTGAATTCTAATCCTGTCCTCCACAATGCTTGCAAGCATGGGCGGTGGGTATAATAGGCCAGGGGAGGCTAAGCCTCCCCTAAAGGAAGCCTTGGCCCCGCCCATGCTCCCCCCTCTCCACCAAGCCAGTGGGATCTCAGTTGCAGCCGGAAGTCAGCAGCCTGGCACTGGGGCTGATGCGGGGGCTGCCAGGTAGCCCAGCGCTGGGGCCGGCAGGTGACCCGGCGCTGGGGATGGCCGGCGCTGGGGGTGGCAGGTGACCTGGCACTGGGACTGGCCGGCAGCCTGGGGCTAGGGCTGGCAGTGGCTGATGGCCTGCGGCTGGTGCTGAGAGCAGGCGGTGGCCCGTGATAGTTCCCGGGGTGCCTCTGGCCTCAGGTGGAAGGGGCAGGGCTGCATGGCTAGCCTCCCCAAAGGGGAGGCTCACACGCTGCCCATGCTTGCAACCCCTGCTCAGCTGGGCAGGAATAGATGGGACCTATAAAGCCCAGGAGCTGACAACAGACAGGGCTGTTGGGGAAAGAGCAGTCATGCACTGGGAGGAGGGAGTTGGTACTCCCAGGGACGGGGAGAGGGGGAGAGACCAGGAAGATTAGGAAGCAGCCTGGGCTGAGAGGGTAGAGCCCAGAACTGCTGAGCTGAGGGACCCTGGACTGGAACCCAGAGAAGAGGGTGGGCCCGGGTTCCCCTACTAGCCACTGGGGAAGTGGAACCATCATGGCAGCACAGGAGAAGACTGTCTGGGACTGTTTGCATAGAAAGACTTTGGGTAACCCCAGAAGGGCGAAAGACGGATGGTGACTCAGTTGGAGGGCCAAGTCATGAAGAGGGTCTGCAGGGTGAGAGGATAATAGGTGAGCAGGGCCGGCTCTAGCTTTTTTGCCGCCGCAAAGCAAAAAAAAAAAAAAAAAAAAATGGCAGCCGCAGGGCTCGTGTGGAGGGCTGTCAAGGCAGCTTGCAGGGGGGTGAAGGGCAGTGCCTCACAGCTGGGTGAGAGGGGCTCCCCCCTCTGGCCTTGGGGTGCCTCTCCCGGCCGGGCAGGCGGAGCCCCCGGGGGGCTGCAGGAGGTGCTGGCTCAGCCGCTCCTTTAAAGGCGGCTCGGCTGGGCCGGGCTCAGAGCGGCACGGGAGGCGGAGGCCGGTGCAGGTGGCGGGGAGTTGCGTGTCCCGGGGAGCCCGGCGGCACGGTGAGTGGCGGGGATCACTAGTTCCTGCCCCCCTGGCTGGGGTCCGTGCCCCTGCTGGGCTGGGAGTGGCGGAGCGCAGGGAGCCGGCGGGGGCTCCGGAGCTGCGGACTGGGCTGCCAAAGAAAAAAAAAGAACCACGGCAGGGCGGCCGGAATGTGCCGCCCCAAGATTGGCCGGAATGCCGCCCCTTACAATGTGCTGCCCCAGGCACGTGCTTTCTCGTCTGGTGCCTGGAGCTGGCCCTGTAGGTGAGGCACCACCTGAAGAGGGCACAGCAATTGACAGAGCTTATCCCCTGGATGGCCAGCAGGAGGTGCCACTGTGGTGAGTGGGCCCCATGACAGTATCTCATACAAAGTAGAGCAGCTTCAACAGGAGAGATTGAGAGAGACCCATCTCAGAATACCTTATAGCCCACTATTTAGAGTACTGAGGGGGGATATCTGGTTTCAACTCTCTGCTCTAAATCAGGGAGGGGGTGATTTGAACCTGGGCCTCTTACATCCTAGGTGAGTACTCTAACCCTGGCCTATTGAGTTATTGCAATGCCTTTCCATAAGAGCTGGAATAGATTTGAAAAGTATACTGCCACCACTGTCAAGTTCCAAATTTAACCCATCTTAAAACAAAACAAAACAAAAATGGTTGTTTTTCATGCTCTCTCTTGATGACAAAAACAACCCTTCCACAACCCCCCTCCCAAAACAAAACAAGTCAGGAGCAGCTAAAATCCCAGCTTCCTAGCTAGTTTACTTACTTACATGCATGTCAATCAGTTACTGTCTTTTGGCTCCATTCTTGAAAGAGGCAAAACATAAGCCTCCCCTTTTAATGCATGTACACACTGCACCTGCAGAGAAACCCAAGACCAGATTTCACTCTTGTGTTTTACATCATCTCAAACCCTCCGTGGAATAATTTTCTTGCTTTGTAACTCACTACAACTCTCATCTATATTAATATGTCCTAAAAAAAAAAATCTGCCGAATTGCATGTCTCTTCTAGTAGAGAGAATATAATGAATAATTTAACATTTATAAATATAATTCAATAACATTTTACATTTAGTACCAATCTCCACTCCCAGCTTTTCAAAACTATTCTTATCTATTACTTCTATTTCTAATGTTTCAGTATGACTAACTTCAACAGTTAAATATAAAGATACCTATACCAATTACAACACTGACAAAAAGACAAAGGTAAGAAAAGTATATAACATCACATCTTTGGATACCATTAATGGTCCATTACAAATATGGAGACATTTTGCTATCTGATCCATTAGTTTGTTTTGCCCGACAGTAAAGTACAAATCAATAGTATGAATGTACTTTAAAAATATAAATCCATTAACTTCAAGGCACTTTAGGAGCTAAAGAAATATATTCATAATTGAAAAAATCTCCAGTAAAAATGAGAAACTATTTCCTGATTTTGGTTAATGTATGTTCCAGCTTAATCATCTCCTAGGTGAAAGCTATTGTCTCAAAGGATTGGTATTAGCACAAAATTCAGTGTCAGGAGATTGTGTATGTAATTTGCATTCTTCAGTGGATGTTGGCATGCAAACAAAACTACAGAACTTACTAACTTTCTGTTTGTCACATATTAAAATGCTGAGCTGACTCTCATAGAGTTCATATATTATGGAACTTCTGTGCTGGATTGTAGCTATACTAGTCATGTTTACTGTCACGAAGAGGTTAAATTCCAAATTAAGGGCTTGATCCTGCAAGTTATTATTCACACAAATATTCCTACTTCAGTCACGATAGATATATACAAAGATATGGATGATATGAAGAGGTAATTTGGGTGCTGCTGTGTAGTATGTGAACAAGAGGATATTCAATTAAATTGAAAAATCAACAGGAAATGCATTTTTACACAATGCAAAGTTAATTTGTGGGAGTAGTTACCAAAAGATATCATTAAGGCCAAGAACTTAATAGGTTTAAAAAAGGATTAAAACATTTATATTTATTTAATAATGAGAATACCTACAGTTACATTAGATAGATTAAAACTTTTTTAAAAGAAAGGATAAACTCTCATGTGTTAGGGCATAAACCAACCACTAACTGACAGAATTGGCAAAAAACTTCCCCTATGGGCAGTGTAATAAATGTGTAACACACAGGTGTGCTGCTAAAAGGCTGAACTTTATGGCCTATCAGTCATCTAACTAGGGTCTGCATACAAAGTTTGATACCCCGACACTTTACAGGCTCTGGAGTGGGGCCAGGGATGAGGGGTTTGGGGTGCAGGAGGGGGCTCTGGGTTTGGGGGACTCAGGGTTGGGGTAGGGGTACGGGAGGGGATCAGGGCTCTGGGCTGGGGGTGCAGGCTCTGGGGTGGGGCCAGGGATGAGGGGCTTGGGGTGCAGGAGGAGGCTTTGGGGTGGGGAGGCTCAGGACTGGGGTAGGGGATTGGGGCATGGGCTTACCTGCGGCAGCTCCTGGTCAGTGGCGCAGTGGGAGTGCAAATGCAGTATTCCTGCCTGTCCTGGCACCGCAGACGGCGCTGCGCCCCAGAAGCAGCCAGCAGCAGGTCCGGCTCCTAGACGGAGGTGTGCAGGCGGCTCCCCGCGGTTCTCGCCCACAGGCACCGCCCCCCACCAGCTCCCATTGAGGGTGGAGCTGGTGCTTGGGGTGGGGGCAGCCCCATGGCCCCCCAGCCTAGGAGCCGGACCTGTTGCTGGCTGCTTCCGGGGCACAGTGCGGTGTCAGAACAGGTAGGGACAAGGCAGCACCGTGGCGCTCACGGGACTTTTAACGGCCCAGTCAGTCTGACCAAAGCCACCGTGAGCCAGTGCCTGACATGTCACAACCCAGTACTGGGTCAGGACCTGCAGTTTGAAAAGTCTAGAGACTTTGGGGCTGATCCAGAGGCCACTGATGTCCAAGGGAATCTTTCCATTGACCTCGGCAGGCTTTGGATCAGGCCCTACATTTTCCACTTCTTTAAAGTGCTCTTGAAATGTGTTTGACACAGGTGATTTGAGAAGGCAGCATTTCGTGGCGCATTGGGCTGGGAACATCCCCTTGGGAGCTCCTCCACCCCGCCGGCAGCCAGGCGGCTCAGGGGTGAAGCACCAGGAGATGGCACTGTCCCCCCGAGCTTGGGAGGTGGAGGCGGCAATTGACAAGAGACCCTTGTCCTGAAGCCTCGGTAAGGAACCAGCGCGCACTGGCTGCCCTGAACGGGTCCATGCAAGCCCTGACTCCCCTGCCACAGCCTGTGGGCGACTCCCCCAGCGCTCCGCGGCAGTGCGGTGTGTTTCCACCAGGGGCACTTGAGGTGGAACCCGCCTCCCCGAGCCTTCGCCTTGTAAGAAGTTCCCTGCTGTGCACAGTCACTCGGCTGCCCTGCCTGCAGCTGCTGCGGCTACAGGACAAGCCTAGTGCCGGGAGGAGAGACCGGCTCCCCCACTCGCCTCAGGTAGGGATCGGGGCTCGCCCTGCCGCCGCAGCGGGGGAGCTGGGGGACCCCACCTGCAGCCGGTCCCTTCACGCGGGCCTCTGGCGGCTCTGGGAGAGGCGGGAACCCCGCGCACCTCGCCTCGGCCTTTGCAGCCGGGCTCTCCGGCCGGGCGCTGCTTCCGCTCTGCGGCGCGGGGCCAAGGTCAGGGTCCGGGCCCCCGCACAGCGGCTCCCGCAGCCGGCCGGCGTCACGCGCGGAGCCCAGCTGACCCGCTGCAAGAAGCCGCTGGCGGGCTGCCCGCGGGCGGGGCGGGACGGGACGGGACATGCCGGGGCTGCTGAATATAACACCCCGCCCCTCGGCCCGCAGCGGGATGCTGCTGCGGAGCCTGCGGCCGGCGCCCCTGGGAGAGTCCCCGGCCGGGCAGGGGGCTGAGTGAGCCCCAGCGCTGCCTCCTCCTCCTCCTCGGCGCTGAAGGCTTCTTCCCAGGTCAGCGCCGCCTGCGTCCTGGTGCTGCCTCCAGCATGGCTTTCCCTGGGGCACTAGGTGAGTCCTTCTTCCCCAGGGCGGCGCGGGGCTGGCACCGGGATCCGCTCACCTTGGGGCCGCTGTAGCCGGCAGAGGAAATTGCAACACTGGAGCCGGAGCCTGAGCCTCCCCCGCCAGCTCCTGGCTGTCGTCGTCCGCCAGAAAGCGGCGGCATGGTCCTGGTTCAAGTCTCCTCCCTCAGAGAGCTGGCCAGGGCCAGATTTCCCCCCCTCTCAGCCCCTCACCCCTATGCTCCTGGCGGTCCCTGCGTGGAGGAGCAGACTAGGATTCCTCATGGTGGCTGGTGCAGCTCTGATTTTATAATATTCACGTCCTCTGAGTCAGTGATTCTGAAGCTTTCCAGACCACTGTACCCTTTCAGGAGTCTGATTTGTCTTCCCTACCCCCACGTTTCACCTCACTTAAACTGCTAGCTTATAAAAATAGTGTCACAACACAGTATTCCTGAAAAATTGCTTACTTTCTCCTTTTTACCAGGTAACTAAAAATAAATCAATTAGAAATAAATATTGTACTTGCATTTCAGTGTATAGTAAATAGAGCAGTATAAACAAGTCATCTGTGTGAAATTTTACTTTGTACTAACTACTAGTGCTTTTTATGTAGCCTGTTGTAAAACTAGGCCAATATTTAGATGAGTTGATGTAGCTCCTGGTTGAGAACCACTGCTTTAAACTTCCTGATCAATCATCGTCTTTTAAGTAATCATCCTGTCAGGTAGTGTCTAGCACAGTCCTCTCTTACTTTACGAGTTTAAGAGAAATAACTCCCACACAAGTTAAAGACAACTACAGCAACTTTGGGATAGCAGGGGGAAAAAAACAAAAACACAAGGATCAGGAAAGGACAGAGGGTTTTCTGAATACTGCATAATATTCAGCCTCTCCTCCCAGAGTGGATAAATGTTTCATCATTTCCTCTTTCCCAAATCACAACAGCAGTGAGCCATTTTTACTTTGGGAAATTAAAATTTGCTAGGTGGGGGATTCATTTTATTTTAAAGGAGTACAGTAAATATTGAAGTGTATCAACTTACCAACTCAGCCCAAGGAGATTAGAAATTGCATAGTGAGTGAAGAGTCATTTCGCAATTTTTATGTTTATTAAGTTTTCTTCAGTGATGTGAACTGACTTATTAATGTAAACAAAACACAGCCTACTTGGAAGACAAGAGATGCCTGCACCTGTCATTTGCCCGAAAAAGGAGTGCAGGAACAAGCACTGTCCTGAAGAAAAATAGTTTGGTGTTAGTGGAGAATAGGGGTTTATGTATACATAGATCAAATGTCAACTTTTCACTTCATTTTGAGTAATGACTTAAAATTCACTTTGTTAGCCCATTCTGATTAAGTACTGAAGTCTATCAGGCAAGAGGTTTCCTACTGTACTTCAGTTTTTAACAGTTATGTAACTAAGGCCATTTTTACACTAGGAAAGCGATCAGTCACTGACCATGATTGTTCAGCAGTGGATCCCTCTCTAGGCCTACTCAGCCAATGATGAAACTGCTACTATAGATGGGACAAAACCATTTTGCAGCTCCATGTTCCACTAGGACTAGCAGAGGTGGTTTTACAGCAAAACACAGGGTGCCCTGGCATGGCCCCCCCCTCCCCATGACAGGGAGCTGCAGGGGCAGAAGCTTGGTCCTGCTGGCTCCTGGGGCTCCTGCTGCAGTCTCTGCACCCACCGGCAGCCAAGGTCCCCCTCCCCCACCTCCTCCCCCGAGTGTGCCGCTTTCCCACCCCTCCCCGTGCTTCCCCTGCTGCCAACACTCAGGTCACTCCGGGAGGGAGGGGGAGGAGCAGGGCCCACAGCACGCTCAGGGGAGGAGGTGGAGAAGAGGCAGTGGCGGGGTCTTGGGGAAGGGGGTGGGGCAGAGCAAAGGTGGGGTCCCCGCACTCCTCCACATGTACCCCCCCAACCCCTTGCCTTGAGCCGCTCAGGGCAGGGGACTGGGGTGGGGTAGGGCAGGGGGCTGAGAGCACCCCCATGACCCCAGACCACACCCCTGCCCCGTGCCCTGACTCCTGTACCTCCCACCCTGAGCACCAAATGGAGCTCCTGCACCCCCCCCCCACATTCCCACCTGCACCCCTCGCACCAAATGGGAGCTGCCCCAGGTAAGCGCTCCACACCCCAACCCCCTGCCCCAGCTCTGAGCCCCCTCCTGCACCCTAAGTTCTGGCTAGACCCTGCACCCCAATGTTTTTTTTACTGTTTTTTAAATAAAGCCTCTTATCCAAAGCACTTTACAATAGTTAGCTAACGGTACAAACAATATCTGGAAAGATCATTAAGTGGTCCGCCGAGACCCTCAGCGATTTTTCAAGTGGTCTATGGAAAAATAAGTTAGACTACAAAAAACAATCAAGGTACCTCACTTTATTTTCATTTACTTCCTATTAATTATAGGAGGAGGATGAAGAAAAAAAGAATGAAAAATGGGGGTGGGGGAGATGAGAATGTTCTTTTTCTTGGCTGCGTCCCAAGGGGGGGCCCCAAAAATGAAGCTGAGCACAGGGCCCCACTAACTCTAAATCCACCACTAAGGACCTAAAAGTCACAATATTACAACAACAAAACTTCAAAAACAGACTCCAACGAGAGACTGCTGAATTGGAATTTGCAAATTGGACACCATTAAATTAGGCTTGAATAAAGACTGGAGTGGATGGGCCATTACACAAAGTAAAACTATTTCCCCATGCTTCCCCCCCTCCCCCCAGTTCCTCACATCTCCTTGTGAATTGCTGGAAATGGGCCATTTTCATTACCACTACAAACAGTTCTTTTCCTCTCCTGCTGATAATAGCTCACCTTAACTGATCTCTCTCCTTATACTGTGTATGGTAACACCCATTGTTTCAGAGAGAGAGAGAGGGGAGGGGGGGGCGGTGTGTGTGTGCTGTATTTTCCACTACATGCATCTGATGAAGTGGGCTGTAGCCCACAAAAGCTTATGCTCAAATAAATTTGTTAGCCTCTAAGGTGCCACAAATGGGGGAGGGATAGCTCTGTGGTTTGAGCATTGGACTGCTAAACCCAGGGTTGTGAGTTCAATCCTTGAGGGGGGCCATTTAGGGATCGGGGGGAATCTGTCTGGGGATTGGTCCTGCTTTGAGCAGGGGGTTGGACTAGATGACCTCCTGAGGTCCCTTCCAACCTTGATATTCTATGATTCTACTCCTGTTCTTTTTGCGGATACAGACTAACACGGCTGCTACTCTGAAACACTGAGGACTAGTCATACTATCTTTAATGGAGCTGATTTGGTCCTACGTTCACTAGCTGTGAACTGTTTCCAACACCACCTGAGGCAGCCTAGGAAGTCCTTATAACTGACAACTATTGTCAGCAGCTATATCTGGGTCTAACTATTATTAGAGACACAAGGTGGGTGAGAATATATTTTATTGGACCAACTTCTGTTGGTTAGAGAGACAAGCTCTGTGTGGCTTGAAAGTTTGTCTCTCACAAACAGAAGTTGGTCCAATAAAAGATATTACCTCACCCACCTTGTTTTTCTACTATCCTAGGATTGTCACAGCTGCAACAATACTGCATGCAACTGTTGCTGACAACAATGGCTACAGAGGTCAGTAGAAAGATTCCTATGACTTTAATGAGATGAGAGTGAGAAACTGACATTAGAAGCTCAATTTGGATACATATTGCATTGTCACTGCATTACTAGGTCAACCATGTGTATAGAAGTTGTTCTAAGATTATACTTGATTTTGTGAAAGTTTAATATTTGGTGTTATATTGCTGCTGAACAGAAAAGCTTAAGGGTATATCTGAACTCAATGGGAGTCTTTCCATTGACTTCCCTGGGCTTTGAATCAGATGCAAGATAAGAATAAAAATATCCAGTAAATCACCATTACTAACTGCTTTTTGGAACAGCTAGTCCTAGAACCCACAAGGAGAGGGGCAATTCTTGATTTAGTACTAAATGGTGCACAAGATCTGGTCCAAGAGGTGAATATAGCTGAACCACTCGGTAATAATGACCATAATGTATTTAAATGTAACATCCTTGGGGGGAGGGGAGAGATACCAAAGAAATCCACCACAGTAGCATTTAACTTCAAAAAGAGGAACTACACAAAAGTGAGGAGGCTAGTTAAACTGAAATTGATATACCTGTGTAATAAATTAAGGTGTGTGTGTGTGTGGGGGGGGGAGGGTAAGCTTCTTTTGATGGACACCCAGCCAGTTAGCTGGTGTCCATCTTTATTTGCTTTACCTGTAAAGGGTTAAAAAGTCTCCCAGGTAAAGAAAAAAAAAAGTGGGCACCTGACCAAAAGAGCCAATGGGAAGGTAGAACTTTTTAAAATTGGGAAAGAAACTTTCCCTTTGTTTGTTGTTCTTTGGGCTGGAGGAACAGAGCAGCCATGCTATAAGCAGCTAAGCCAAGTATGATTATAAGTCATCAGCTCATGCCTAGAACTACTTATCTGAACTCCAAATGTGTAAATAGATCAGAATGTTTAGCTAGATGTGATTAGGGTTATTTCTTATTGGCTTGTGGATCTCCTCTGTGCTAACCCCTGATGCATTTGTTTGCTTGTAACCTTTAAGCTGAACCCCCAAGAAAGCTATTTTGGGTGCTTGAGTTTTGAAATTTCTCTTTTAAAATCTAGCAAAAGCCTAAGTTCCAGATGCATTTTCTTTCTTTTGGTTTTTAATAAAGTTTACCTTTTTTAAAAACAGGATTGGATTTTTGGTGTCCGAAGAGGTTTGTGCATGTTGTTTGATTAGCTGGTAGCCACAGCTAATCTCCTTTTTTCCTTTCTCAGCTCTTTCCTGGAGGGAGGGTGAAAGGGCTTGAGGGCACCCCACAAGGAGGAATTCCCAAGTGCTCCTTCCTGGGTTCAAAGGGGGTTTTGTTGCATTTGGGTGGTGGCAGCGTTTACCAAGCCAAGGTCAGAGAAAAGCTGTGACCTTGGGAGTTTAATAGAAGCCTGGAGTGGCAAGTATTAATTTTTAAA